GGAAGCAGGAGTTATTGTTGTGAAGTTCAACTGACTTGGTTCCCACCCTTGTTGTTGTAGTTGTTAAGTGCCGTCGAGTCGGTTCCGACCCATAGCGAACCTGTACAGGGTTTCTGAGGCTGTAAATCTTTACGGGAGCAGAACACCTCATCTTTCTCCAGCGGAGCGGCTGATAGTTTCGAACTGTTGGCCTGAAGGTTTGCAGACCGATTCGTAACCACTACACTACCAGAACTCCTTGGCAACCCTATATAGGGATACCAATAAACTTCTGGTGGAGTTGAACCATGAACCTTGCAGTTAGTAGTCCAGTACTTATCCTACAGCACCAACAAGAAAGTAGATTGTTGTTGTTAAATGATGTAGAGTCAGTTCGACCCATAGCAACACTGTATAGGGTTTCCAAGGAGCAGCTGGTGAGCTTGAACCACCAACCTTGCAGTTCAAATGGCTTTGCTGTCTGGTGCATTAACCCACAGCGCCACACCAGTCTCATCTTTATCCAGCAGAGCAGTTGGAGGACTTGACCCCCAAACCTTTGATTCACAGCACAGTGCTTAACTCACTGTGACACCAGGAATCTTTTGTAACTGAAAGATAGCAGTTTATAAAATTGTTATAGACAGAGGTAAGGGAAAAACATAAATAATGAAAAAACATGAGAGTATGTGTTTAATAAAATAAAGTTTGAGAAATCTAAAAATCTGATGCACATACATCAAATTAAATATCAAGTAAAATGGAATGGGTTAAAGTATTGAAACTAATTTGAAGTCTTATTTCACTTAATAAATCAAACTCTCTTCATTCTGGTTTTGTTGTTATCTAACATTATTTCCAAGTATTTATTAAATATTTCTCAGTAACACTAGCAAAAGCTTTTGCTCTAGAGGTAAAGTATTAACGCTGGTAAGTTTGTAGACAGTAAACTATCACTGAACATTTTATTCAAATATTTACTCTAATTCAAATTATTTTGGTAATCATTTTATTAATGCTAAGAACATTTTAGAGTGATAATTATGTATGACACAAAACATTTGCCATTTTAATCTTTTTACATATACAATTCAGGTACATTAATTATTTTCTTTTTATTGTACAGCCATCATTCTTATTTGTTTTCCCATCACCCTTAACAGACTTTCAATGACCCCTAATCAATGAATCTTACTTTTACTCTCTCTATTGCCCACCCTTGGAGTTCTGGTGTGGTGCTGTGGGTTAATGCGTTAGACTGTAAAGCTGTTTGAACTGCAAGGTCAGTAGTTCAAGCTCACCCATTGCTCCTTGTAAACCCTATACAAGGTCACTGTGGGTTGGAACCAACTGGATGGCACTTAACAACAACTACCCATCCTAGTTACTAATATAAATAAGCTTTGGTCTCTATATATTTGTTACTCTAACTATTTCATTGACATGAAATTATGTAATATATATCTGTCTGTCGTGCTGTGGTGGTTTGAGTTGCTGTGATTCTGAGGGCTATGCCACCGGTGTTTTAAAGAACCAGCAGGGTCACCCATGGTGGAAAGGTTTCAGATGAGCTACAAAACAAATACAGACTAGGAAGAAAGAGTGACAAACTACTTCAGAATGGCTAGTCACTGAAAACTCTATGCATAGGAGAGAAAAATTGTCAGATATAGGACTGGAAGGTGGGAGGGCACTCAGAAAGCGATTGTGGAAAAAAATGCCTCCTCAAAGTAGGGTTGACCATAATGACATGAATAC